TTTTTTTTTTTTTTTTTTTTTTTTTCAATTTTCATTTAACGCATACTCAGCAGGTGTCAGAAAAAGGTGTACCTCTCTGTCCATTTTAATAACCTTTAAATAATTCTCACTTTTTTACTCTTTAATTTCCCATTATTAATGCTCTATTTCATTTCAATAAATTATAAATTTACTTCTTTACGTTTATTTATCTAATAAATTTTTAAATTTAAAAAATTATTCATTTATTTATTTATTCTTCTTTAATATTGTTTTATTCATGGCGAAATTTTGTGCGTGTTTTATTCTAAGAAATGGAAAATATCCCACAATTGGGTTTACGACATAACCTATAAATCAATAACCGATCCAATTTGAGCAACTCCACGGGATAGACCTCAATAAAAAACTTAAGAGTAACAACAGCAAATGATTGAGTTAAGTAATTCCTCGTATAAAATTATTGACTCCAAACACTGACAGACTTAGAAGCGTCTCTTGTTTCAAAGAGGGAATGATAGGTTATTCACATTTCATTTTAAGGATTCCAAGGAAAAAAAACATATATGAATTTATATGATCAAGCTGTCCAAAAAAGAAACGTACATTTTGTAGATCATTGGATCTTTCGTGGGGTTTATTTGAATGGAATTGATATAAGAATGTATACTGATTAAAGATAATGGTAAGTTGGGAAACTGAATTAGTGAAATTAATAAGATCAGGGGAGCTTTAATAATGACAATTAATGATATATTAATTGAGGTCAATTATACACGAAACCCACTTACGTGGCAGTCTAGGGAGAAGCGCAGTTAACTAAAATTACAAACTTTAAAATAATATTAATGAAATTGAAAAAAAGAAAAGAAAAGAAAAGAAAAGAAAAGGAAAAAGAAAAAACAAAAACAAAAACCATTTCTTCCTTCCAATATTCGGGAGACGCTCTTTAATCAAACTTCACAACCACCCCCTTCTTCAATTTTCCTTCTCCGCCTCCAGAATTCCGCCGGCCGATTTCCGATGACCGTCTCCGCCTTGTATTCCGTCTGCTTCTGCCCTTGATTGCAGGTTCTAGAGCGGAGCGCCGGCCGTTTCGTTGTTTTTTTTTTTTTTGAATCTGCGGCGATGAGTGCCGGCGCGGCGACGTTCCGGTCTATACTCGACAAACCCCTCAACCAGCTGACGGAGGATGACATTTCGCAGCTCACGCGAGAGGACTGTCGCAAATACCTAAAAGAAAAAGGTTTTTTTTGTTTCTCTTCTTTGTTTCTTCAATTTCCAGTTTTGTTCCTTCCTTCCCTCCATTTTTTCCGGCGCCCCCAAATCACGGAAGCTTCCATTCTCTTTCCTCATCTTTTATTTATTTTAATTTTTTTTTTGCTCTTTAGCGGGTTCAAAGGAATGATTACGATTTTTTTGGTTTTATTTTTTCTTTTTTTTTGTTTGTGTGACTACACGTGTCGGGTCAGGAATGCGGCGGCCCTCGTGGAACAAATCTCAGGCGATCCAGCAGGTTATTTGTTTGAAAGCATTGCTTGAACCTTGTGATGATTCCGGCGCCAGTGCTCTCAGGAAGGTCGCCGTTTCGCCTCGGGTGAGTTTTGGTTTTAAGCTTCTGTTTGGCTGCTGACAGAAAAGAACAAAACCTCCCCCAAATGTCGACTGAGATTCCTGTTCTTTTTACTTACTGAATGGAGGGTTTTCTTTGATCAACATTTTTCCTTTCTGGGCATATTTGTGTGTGTTTTTCAAAGTAATTAGTGATGTTATTGAATGATGTTTGTGTAGGTGAATTCAAATCAAGGCGGTTCACCCAGGGAACCGAGTGATGATGCTCAGGTTACGATATCAGTTGATGAATCTGCGTATAGCAATATGGAGACTGCAAAATCTACTCCTGAGGATCCACTGGCTGAACCAGACAACAAGGTCACTAGTCCCAGGTCTACTTCTTCCCTGTGATCTTCTGAGAATGCTTGCTTTCAAAATCTATGAATGATCTACAGATCCTTGTTTAGTCATAAATACTAGGCATGGCAGAGAACTTGGGAATTAAAATGTGTGCAGATTCAAAAGAAAATGAAGCAATGAAACATAATCAACTTGAATTCGGGATATCTATTCGAAATCTTAGTGAAAGACTGGATTTATTTTCTCAGGTGTGGTTTTTACGAGAGAATACTAACCGGAACTAATCCTGCTAGCTTAATCTTAGTTTAAATTCACTTGATGTATTTTCATGCTATGAAAGTTCTTGAGCTCAAACTTGCTGGCCTATTTGTTATTCTTGCTATGTGGCTTGGTCTGATGGAATATGACAATAATTTTCTGCGCGTTTTTTGTTTACAATTCGAAAACTGGCCGATGCTAGATTATTCACTCGAAATCTTAGTGATTTTTCCATCTACGAAAAACGTTCTGGAATTCTGCTCTGTTGAAGGTTATACAGGCATTTTGTAGAGGATCTATAATCTTGATATGATTCCCTCTTGTTCTTTCTTCAATAAAATTTGTACTAACTGAAAGGAGATGACGAATATTTTAATGGTTGACAGAGATCAATGTGATACACATGGAGTGGATGGCCAAATGACAATTTTCTATTGTGGCAAGGTGAATGTGTATGATGGAGTTCCAGCAGATAAGGTTTAGATGTTATCTCTTTTTTGGATTCTTGAAGAATATTTGTTATGGACGTAATCTTTTTTCCCCTCCCTTTCAACATGTTGTAGTCATTTATGGAATTTTTGCAGGCATGGGCAATCATGCATCTAGCAGCTAGTCCAGTTCATTTCCCTCAGAATCACACCATGGGTGGAACTGCTTCATGTCAGTCTCCACCATGTCTTTTGCAGAATGCCAATGAGAGAGATGACCTTTTTTCTCCTAGTGGTACTATCTATCGGAATGTGCATACAGGTGAGTGAGTGGATTATAGCAATTTTGTTGCAAATAACTTTTCATGCTCTAAATGTGAGATCGATCCCACATCGGTTGGAGTGGAGAACGAAACATCTTTTATAAGAGTGTGGAAACCTCTTCCTAGCAGACGCGTTTTAAAAACCTTGAGAGGAAGCCCAAAAAGGACAATATCGGCTAGCGGTGGGCTTGGGCGGTTACACCAAAAACTTATCTATAGCCTCAATTCCACTTTGACTTGGCTCCTTTTTATTGGACCATAGCAACTGTGGGTCGACATCTACATTTTGTGGGTGATATATAGTTCTTGATTGTGGCTGTTTTCACTTTTTCTTCTGTAAACTGCGTAATCGTTTTTATTTGATTTTGTCCTCAAATATCCTGAAAAATAAAGTTTAGTATTGGTGGTAGCTAGTTAAATGAAAAATTCTACTTTGACTTGACAGAGAAGATGGTTGAGTACCCTCAGCAGCAGCAGCAGCATATAAAAGGAACCAGTACTCGAGATTCTGGTAAGCGTTCTGTTTGCTTGTAATGTTGTTAATTGCATTGTGAAAATAAGAACTCTACATTTCTCTTGTTAGCTAGAAACGTGCACGACTCTGTTCTTCGTCCCAGTAATTTCAAATCTACTTTTATGCGCTTGGACAAAATTTGTTGTGATACTTTGTAATGGTTATAGCTTATGAGCTCCCTGCTGTAAAAGTTCCTGTGTTTTGCTGCTACTAAATTGTTATCTTCACCTCGTGAGCTCCCATTTAGTTTGACCAGTCTCCATACTCATAGATTCCCATAGAAACAATTGATCTAATGAATAGCTTTTCATAAAATATTGTGGATTTTCATATTAGATATTGAGGGTCAGGCGAGTCGGAAAGTTTCATTACAGAGATATCTTGAAAAGCGAAAAGACAGGTACCTTTGACTAAGTTTGTTTTTCAGTTATAAGTCGATAACGATGTCGTCTTGCATGGTAGATAAGCTTTGTGGTCTCGGATCTCATTTCGTTCATTTCCCTCCCATCTTTGTGGTTAAATTTCTGTAAGGGGAAGGTTAAAGAACAAGAAAAATACAGGATTGGCTTCTTCTAGCCTGGAGGGGTATATGAACCATCAAATGAGGACGCATATATCCAATAAGAATTTAGGTCAGATTGTGACAAGCTCTTTATCCCCAACTGGAGTAGCAAAAGCCTTCGTTGGAACAGCTGACAATCAGCCAAAACTTGCATGCTTCCCTGTCGACCTTAATGTCAAAGGTAGAGCTATAGAGCCTTTATATTAGCACTTCACTTTTTACTGGCATTTATATGCATTTGCGTTGCTCGTTAAAACTGATATTTGAACTTCTGATCTGTTCGATAAGGGTATATGCGTAGCTATGCTTAGGTCGGCACGAGTTATTAAAATTATGCTTCGGGTGTTGTTAGTTTCTAGCTCGAAAAAAGTTTCTTAATGTGACCAAGGAACCCGATATCAGTTTTAGGTGTCGGGATCTGGTTATAAATACCGTAAGAACATAAAGAAAATTAAAAGATTTGTCTTAGCTTGGTAGCTACTTTTCTGCAGATATCCAGGAGTGCTGAGTTGATGACATGCTCTACTTCAGAGATCATCCTTGTGATTAGCAAGAACTTGAGAGAGAAGAGGAGCGAAGTCGAAATGGTTGTCTGTTGCACGATTTGGCTGCTTAAGGAGCGTTATGTAGGCCTTTACTAACCAGTCATGTTTTGGAGATCTTGCGTGGGAGAGGTGTCTATATCCGAACGGTACGAGTATCTCACTCAGCTGATCAATTTTGTAACTCGAACACGGTGTCGAAACCGTTGTTAGGATGATTAGAGAATTTGTTCATGTTTGTGCTGTCAAGGTTTATTGGGTTGAGATGATGATGCAATGTTGGATACGTATAAAAATGAATGCTATCCTTTCTGTGCCAAGAACCTCTTTTCTGTGTATATCAGAACTAAGCCGCTTCATATTTGTAAGCGATTGTGCAGTACTCATTCTCACCACGGAGACTATAATACTTGACATCCAACCTCATAAACCAGTGCTTCCTTTTAATCATTCATATTGCTCTAGCGCTCTCTTGAGACCCGCTTAGGACTTGAGAATTTACAATTTTAATCTTATCCCGCTTAGGACTTGAGAATTTACAATTTTAATCTGGGATAAGATGCAAACTATGAATGCTAGACCGTATGAAGTATATGTCATGGACTAAAAAGTCAACAAAAAAAAGTCAACTGTTTGAAATAAAAGAAAAAATCTTGATATTATAAAATTTTAGTTAAAGAATTTAAAGACTAAATTTATAATTTTATTTAAAAAATGGTAATCCACGTCAGCTAGTATACTAAGGTAAAAAGAAAACCTATTCTTACACGTGGCAGTACTATAGACGCTGATTCAGCAAATTAAGACCCAAAAAAGAAAGAAAAATCTTTGACTCGAATCTTCAAGTTCGACCGGGAGTTTCTGCTCCTTCCGCCGGCCATTGCCTTCAAATTAGGAGTCCGGTGGTTCATCGGAGCACGTTCTTGACGATTCAACTCTGTGAACAAGTTCAGAGAGCTCGTTCAAGAATGGCCGTTGAGGTGAGTCCACGAACGGAACTTCTCTTTATTGGACATCGACATAAACTCGGAAGATTGTTGGAGGAAACTAGTCTTTGCGCAGGCTTAGTACATGAACGATAGCAATGAAGACCAGAGGCTTCCTCTTCATCGCAACCCTAAAGAGTTCGTCTCCATGGACCAATTAGCAGGTGCTCTTCCGTCCTCTTTACCAAACCTGCTCTAGAGATTTTTGGCTCTTTGATTGAATTGAATGATTTATCTTCAAATTTGGAGTGCTGTACAGGAAATTAAACCCTAAATAATATGAGAACGATGAAGAGTTGAAGAAAATCCGAGAGGACGGGATGCTTCACTAATCCATCGATGTTTTCCATTTCTATTTTGTTGTCGAACTTTTTTGGATACGTTTTGTTCTTCTTGAGATGTGTAGGATTTACTTGATATATGCACACAGAAACTTGGTGATTGTGAAGAAATTCGTTACACTTGGATCGAACTGACCATCTATTCGAAGATTGTTATTTATGTAAATCTTAGTCAAAACAAAAATAAAACTATTTCATAGGTTACAATCTTCATAGTTGGATTATCCACAGTTAATGAGGCTGTTCCAGGGAGAGCCCATTTGGACCCCGTTTAACCGACCACAAGGGCAGCATCCAGCAAGGAAAGAGTACCTCAACACCTTCACTGAGAAAGCTGGAGCGCCACTCCAGGCTCATTAAAGACTTGTGTGTATTCTTCTGTACTATACTATGACAATCAATACAAATCTGTGAGGTTTAGCTCAGGCTGTGCATTGTTGAGTATGGCTTAGATTAAATACTATATAAATTTGCCAACTGCTGTTGAAACATGGCTTAATAAATGTCTGAGCCTCATATTATTTATGAATTGAGCTTCTCAAAAGAATTGTAATTTGAACCACTTTGGAAAATTATTGGCCCCATTTGATTTTATGATTAAACGATAGAGATTTCTCTCTTGCAGGAAAGATATGGAATCTCGAATATAAAATTCTTATAAACTACATTTATTTTTATTGTTCTACAGGACCCTGTATTTGTGTCGATTAATACTGAAGCGCGTAGTACCTTATCACGAAAGCCTGTTTGATAATGTTTTACAGACTATTGAGTTTGTGTGTCAGATAAATAGTTCAATCATTTCCTTCAGAATACTGTTCTTGTTATACATGTCAATTATATTCTTCCCTACAGTATTGAGGGGTAGCTATGGTGTTTTTGCTTTAGAGATGTTAAAGATCATGTGTTTGTTTAGATTGCTGTCAGTTAGTATCTAATTAAATCTGCGTTAGGAGTTAGATCTAGTTTTTTATTTGATTTAGTTTTGATTTGATTAGATTTTATTTTGATTTGTTTACTGGTTTGTTACCAGATTTTCCGTAGATTTTTAGGTAGATTGTCTGAATATCTTTTGTATTCTCTGTATAAATATGGAGCATTCTTACTCTTCATAATTTAATCTTCTCATTAATCATTCAATCAATCCCTCCTTCACTAACAAGAGATTATTAACTTTTTTAGTTCTCTTGTTGACCAGAAAGTTGCAGGGCTCTTGGAGATCAGTGACTCGTTTAACACTGGAAAATGTAGGAAAGTTTGTTGCCACAAAGCAAATCTCTGGTAAGCATCTTCTGAATTTGCAACATTGATGTTAATTACATGCTCTTTCTATCCATTCTCGCCAGGCTTTTGATGAATGATCTACATTTTCGACGTCTTGTGCACTTGTATTGCCAAATATTGCAGCTGTTATGATATTAAAATCCCATATGCCTGCTTTACAAACTTCATTTATACCGTCTAGTTAACACAAAGAGTGCTTCTTCTTAAGTGTTATGAATTTTCTTAAAACTGAGTTTGATTCTGTTTGCAGAATTTTTTCAGTCAGCAACTGCTGGAGTTGGATTTTATGACAGCGAGGACCTATTTGCTTGGTTTGGTCTAAAAGACTATGCTTGCCAGTTGCTCTTTTCTGCTGCTCAGCTGCTCCTAAAAAGTTCAATTATTTCATATTCAGCAGAAGGTGAGTTAAAATGAACAGCAGTTCAAAAAAAAAAAAAAACAAAACAAAAAAGAAATTGAATATATTGTTGAGCGCTAATATATATGTGTAATAGCTCAAGCCCACTGCTAACAGATGTCCTCTTTGGGCTTTCCCTTTCGAGTTTCTCCTCAAGGTTTTTAAAACACGTCTGCTAGGGTAAGGTTTACTTCTCCAACCAACGTGGAATCTCAAGTGGACATAGTAGCTTTAATGCTGAAGACTTGAGTTCCACAAAATTGTTTGTGATAGTTTAGGATCAGATAACCGAGTCGGCACTAGTTTTTCATTGTTCATTTTCATGACTTATTTGGTTGAGGAAGAGTGAATTACAGAGGTTTTTGAAAATATAACTATTGCAGTTTTGAAGGAGATTTAGAAAGGTCATTTATATGATTTTATGTTTATTTTGAATGAAGTCATCTTTGTAGAAGGCAGTTTGAAGAGAGACTTCCATTAAATGTAGTGTTGTGTTCATGACAGAGCTGGGAACTGAACTGTTTTACTCTTGTCTGCAGTAGTAATACTAATAAGTAGCAAGTATCAAATGACGATAACTCTAACGTAAAGATAACTTCACATTGGACAGGATCAAGCAGAAGATCATGAAAACACACCTGGGATGGGAACAATATCATTACCCTGAAGGAGCAGCCAAGCTAAAGCCAGCTGAACTGGGATATAACCATGCTTCCCAGCTACATTAGCAAGCCTTTGTAGATAAGTTCATTCTGTTCCAAATTCTTCTTGCTGAACCTTGAATGAGAAGTCTGTCAAACACATCACAAACAAGTATATGGATCAGTTTGTTATGCAATACAACAGAGCGACCATGGCAGAACTTGCACAGTAGTCTCCTTTTACGGACCTACCAACGAACGTTCGGCTCAGAGGACTGTAAGTCACTGTCCCAACTCCCAGATCCCTGCAAAACACCCTGGCTTCATCCACCAAGTCTTTCAACATATAACTTTGTAAGTTGAACCATTATAAGTTTGGTTTTGAATACTATTTTCGTTCATTTAGTATAAGGTTTCTAATAAGTCTCTAAACCTTTTCGATTTGATATATTTCGTTCGTATACTTTGAAATGAATTAACATTAGGGGCCTACTAAACACGAAACTTGAATGTGCTCGAGACTTGCTTCAAAGCACTTCCTTACATATTCAGGTGTTCCATTAACTGCAATTCAAATCCTGCTAATGGCACAAGCTCAAACTTTGTAGCTAACTGAATCTTCTTTCCAGGGAGCTGCTTCAAGGCCTGCAAAATAAAACATCTTCAGTCAATTGGTAAGGTCTCAAACACCACCTTTTCAATCGTGATTTCATTGTCATGATCAGGTCCATAAAGATCAGAAGAATAAAAAAATGTTATGCCTTTGATGCAAGCTTGTTCGATAATTTGGTATCCAACACTGGGACACCCTGAAAAGCCCTGCACACCCAAAACCCAACCTTGGAACTTGCAAAGTCTTAAGGATTTTCACTGTCGAACCAAAAGTTTCGTGTTCTTTTTCAAGTTCCCATTTTTTAAAAGTGATCAATCTTTATCTCTACTCCTTGGCTATCCAGTTTCACTCTGGGGATTTGGATCAGATTTTGGGGCTTTACCTCCATTTTGAAGATATCAGAGGAGCTTATACTCTGCAGATATTGCAATTTCCTGTGGAATTTTCTTGATGATTCTTTCCCCTAATGGAACCTTTTTGCACCCTTTGATTATTGATAGTGTGTTGAGTTTCTTGTTTCATGACAAAGGAATATGCCATGAAAGTAGCTAAAACTGAACCTCCTACATTGTCTTTGAGGGTGTAAGGTCAATTCTTCCACCTTATGTTCATAATATGTGACCAAAACCGCACTACTCCAACCTCTTAGAAGAACGTGTATAAGACTTTTTAGAACAAACAAAAGTGTGTTAGTCGATGAGATAAGCTTCAAACTTATTAAACTGACGTCTATAAACATTCGTGGTTCTTAATTTTTAATCAATGAAATACTTAATGACATCTTTTAGGAACGTTTCCTATAAATACTTAATGGCATTTTTACCGATATCTGTAAGATTGAAATCTCGATATCGACATTGACATTTTAACCTTGGTATGTACCTCGAGATGAAAAAAATGAAATAGGGCCATGTGGAAAAAGATCAGCATTGATATTATAGCAGTCTCCAATCAACTTCACCATTTCCATTTCACACTCTTTAACTCAGTCAACAAAATCTCCACCACTCATTTTCCTTTACCAAAAACTCAAACTTCATAGCTAAATCACACTTCATAAAGTGAAGTTTTCATAGAGAAAGGGAGGAATGTGAGAGTTAAAAAAGAAGTTAGAAAGCCGAAGAAGCAAAAAACAATGGACCACTCTAAGCCCCACTTGGACTCCAACACTTATTCTTAGTTCATATGAACCAAAAAGCTTTAAATAGTAACAGAGCCCTTTTAGGGTTCTTAGGGGAAACATTTCAACCAAAAAAATGCTATCTTTTTTCTTTCTTTCTCTCTCAACAGCCTACACAAAGACTGGTTTTTTCCCCTTATTACAGTGTTGTTTGAAAGAGCATTAATGGCAGATACCCTTCAAAATATGATATCAACATGCTTATGCCAGTGAAGTCTTGGTCCCAGCAACTCTTACTTTTTATGCTTTTTAGGGGAAAGATCCTTAATGGTTTCCTCTTCTAAACAGGGCTTCCAAGAACCCCTACTCAAACCATCCTAGTTTCAAGGAACCCTCACAAATCAAATGGGAAACTTGGGGTCTTAATAGTTTGGAGAGAGAACAAAATCTTTGTGTATATCGCATGATGGTAGAAGATTTGTAAATTTATTGCAAGTGTTGGAGGTTTGAATACAAACTCCGCTATGATATGTCTCATTACTTTATATCGTTAGATGTTGTTATTAGGAGTATCGTAACAGTCTAAGCCCACTGCTAGCCGATATTGTCTGTTTTGACTTGTTACCTATCGTCTAGTGTGCTAGGTAGAGGTTTCCACACCCCTACACGAAATGCTTCGTTTTTCTCTCCAACCGATGTGGAATCTCACAATCCACCTCCCTTAGGGGCCAACATCCTCACTGTCACACCATTTGATGTCCGACTCTGATACCATTTGTAACGGGCCAAAGCGGACAATATTTACTAGCGGTGGGCTTAGACAGTTACAAATATGCATATTTCTTAATTCTAATCGAACAGTTACTAAAAGATTATCGTATTATAGCAGTCTCTCCTATTGAGGTTCGAGATTTGAATATAATCCCCACCTCGCCTATTGTTTAAACTAAAGAAAAATGAGAGAATTGGTCATCAATTATATATTTCTGTTTGAGAAATAAATGCATGTTATCCCATCTTCAAAAATATGTTAGCCAACTGACATTCCTACCTACCCTAAAATAATGTTAGGTTTCAATCCACACTCTTACTCAGTGACCTAATATTTTCATTAAAAAATTAATCGTGAACGTTTGATGTAGCTTATTAACTCACGTCAATCAAACTCATAGAATCATCCATCATTTAACTAAGTTATAAGTAAATTTAACCTAAAAACTCGAACAATTCCTTCTATAACTCATTTGTCAAGCACCACTATCAATCAAAAGTAGTTCAAATCATTGCACGTATCCGTTTCATTAAAGAAAAAACCCAAATTGTTTAAAAATAAAATGCTATTATAGGGAGGAAGATTCAATAAAATGATCATCCCTAAGTCATTTTTCCCTTTGTCTATATGAGAGAGTCCCCAATAAGTTGAGTCAATGCAGCAGCTGGCACTAGTCAGAAGCCCATGGGAAATATGAGGCAAAATGGCAAAGCTGTAAAGAAAACAAACCCCTTTTCCTTTCCTTAAATAACAAAAGATGCTCATATTTCTTTATGCATTTCACAATCTCCACTTAAACCTAAAACTTTAGCTAGATTTCCCCTCAATTTTCTTGGGTTCCCAAAAAGAAAACTTTTTTATTACTATACGAACTCTTTACTAATCTCCAAACACGCGACGTCGGAGTTCGATCCTCGAGTCCTCAGGTCCTCGAGTTTCGTTAAGAGTATATGTTTCAACCCATCGAGTCATATTTAGGGTTAAGAAGATCGAATTATCGACTTTTCAGATCATAAATTACGTTTTATCCACTAAGCGTAAGCTATACTCCGATAAGCATAAACGGGTGGTGTTAAATATTCAATTTGTATATTGGAAGGGCTTTCTTAGGGGGTGTAGTCCTGGCGTGACAATATTCAATTTGCATTACCCTTTTTGGACCACTTAATATCTCTCTCTTATGGTCTTGTTTTTGCTTTTGTTTTTATTCATTTACATAATTTAAGTCTAAAATTTAATGAAAACCCTAAAAAGAAAAAGAAAAAGAAAAAAAAAAGGGAATTTTTTTAAACAAAATTATCCATGATTGTTCTTTTCTTTGTTTTTGGTGTATATATATATTCCCTTATCCCTTCATCTTCCATCTATCCTTCTTCATCAACAAAAAAAGCTGCAAACTTTGGCTCTCTTTTCTCTCTTTTTGCCCTAATTTTTGTTTGGTTCACCGTTGTCGTGCGCTTATATCAGTTCAAGCTGCCAGCATGATCTAACCTTAATCTCTGCTAATTATGTTCGAGATTCAAGATCAGATCATATGGCAGCTTCACCTGTTCTTGGCTGCACGAAGAACTTAGCCCTAAATACAAAACCCTAATCACCTTCTTTTTTCCTTAACAATTTCTTCATTCTCACCCATTTTCCATGCATAATTCCTAAAAAAGGTACGAAATTTTTGTGCATTCTCTTTAATTCTCATCTGGGTTTCTTAGATTTGCTTCTGGGTTGCTTTCTTTTTTGTTTTTTCATGCTTCCCCAATCACAAACACCTCAATTTTTTTAGGGTTTCGAAAAAAGATTGAACTTTTATGTCTTGGAGCATGTTTTTCTTGATGGGTTTTGTTCATTCTCTTTAATTCTCATCTGGGTTTCTTAGGTTTGCTTCTGGGTTGCTTTCTTTTTCGTTTTTTCATGCTTCCCCAATCATAAACACCTCAATTTTTTTAGGGTTTTGAAAAAGATTGAATTTTTATGTCTTGAAGCATGTTTTTCTTGATGGGTTTTGCTTGATTTCCTTATTCAAATAAGAATTCATGAGTATCTATTTATGATTCATATAAAAAACTGGGTTTTTTATGAAGCAGCCATTTCTTTTTTTCATAGAATTCTCAAACAAATCTCTTGTTTTTGGGAATTTCGAGAGGGATTCAGAGTGATTATGGCATTACATATTGAATGAGAGAGAGAAATTAATTAGAAGAAACAAAAAATATAGAAAATTTGTAAGCATGTGAGTTCTTTTTCTTCGTACTTTCTTCACTGTTGTTGGCTTACCAGATTGTCTCGTTTGAGAGGAAATGATTCAGAGAAGTGAATACGATAACGATATTTCAAAACAAATTTGAAGCCATTTCCAGACATTTTCTCTTGCTTGTCATTCAATGGTTATTCTTGGTTTTTTGTTTTTGTTTGTTGTGCTTTAATGTTGCAGGCATTTCTTGGGGTCAATTGCGAGCTTGATCTTTGGTATGTGTGTCCAGTGGCCGAGTAGCGAAGTTAAAAGATAAGGCAATTGTCTTTTTGTTCCTCTTAAATCTTAAAAGTTCTTCACTCTTTGCTCTTCTTTGTGTTTCTATTTTTTAGATTATGATACACGAAACTCGTGTTGTGTGGTTTAACGTCGTGATATTATAATCTCGATTAAGCGGTTGGTTTGAATCTTTGCTCTTTGTATCGTTAGTATATGTGAGCGATGGAAGATTTCTAATTTTTTTTGTGCGTTTGTGTTTTATAGATTTAGGAAACCCCGTTCATCTCAAAGTGATTGTTTAAGGCTAAGATGTTATAAAATTTCAATCAAGAGATTCAAGTTTCTGTTGATGTTTGGTACGTGTTTGACTTAATTATATAAAGTTACAAAATTTTATTTCTAACTCTGTTTCTGTACATGTTCGTGTTTTCAAATTTATGTAACTTCGATCATTCGGAGGTTCAGTTTATTGTCTAAGATCGAGACATTATAATATTCATCAAGAATTCAAGTAGTTCGGATCTCAATGAGTTCATTTCTTATATTTGTTTGCCCATAACAAATAAGTAAGCTTATAGATGTTTCTTAGATTCTCGTTAGACTTTTCTTTTAAATATCATCACGACTTTTGACGTTATGCGCTTTTTAGAGTAAAAAGGCTATAGAAAAATATTTCAAGCTAATGTTTGAGTAGTTGGTGCTACGATACTAAAAAGCTCGAAAGCTCAAACGATCATGTGGTTGAATGGTTAGATACCTCGAATGATGTTTGAATGTTCTTTGGTTAAGCCATGATTAATGAATCTACAAAACCCTTTCAATACGACGCTGGACGTTTTAAATTTGTTCTTAGCTCGGTCTATTTGTGTCCCTAGATTACAAAACTTTAATATTGAATATATTTAATTATTGTAAAAGCTTTTGAATAATTCAAATTTAATGTCTAATAAAGTTTAAATGTGTAGGCATCTCTATCATTACTACGAAGTTCTTATAGAGGATGGCTTTCGTTTCAAATGTGGTATTGGTACATTCATATACCGAACGAGTAACACCTGCTCCATAACCACAAACACGAACAAAACTAAAATTATATAATAATTATCTTCATAATTAATTTGGGGAATAAAACATTGAAAATTAAAAGAGAATTATATATGTAATTAATGGTAAAATTATTTACCTAAAATGAATAATTTCAGTATGGAAACATTAGATTACAATAATATCATTTATTATAAAGATGTGCATAATTTTGAATGGTATAAATGAAGAAATATTATTTCAATTATTTCCATTATTGAATCGAAAAGGCAATTAATATTAATTATGAAAAGAAATTAATCAATTAGTAGAGAAAAAATGTAGATAAATATAAAATCTTTTTTCAAAGGATTTTTATTAATAATATTTTCAATAAACGATTATATACTTTTTAAAAGTTTAAATTCCTTTCATAAATGTAATATCTTGTTTTTAATTTACTTTATTTCTTATAAACTAAACATTATTCAATTATACTCCATAAATGCATTTATGAAAAGCTAAAAGGCAATATCACAATAATTTCTGATTTTTTTGTTTAATAAGTTTGTAATATTTTTAAAAATTTTAAAATAATTAAATCGAGAACCTATTAGAGGACGAAGTGGCTCGGTAAGAAGAGACATACATTGAACGAAAGCTTAGAACTTAACCTAAAACTTATCTTAAATTTATCAAAACTATGTACAAATAAAAACTGTAATAGCCCAAGCTCACCGTTAGCAGATATTGTTCTTTTTAGATTTGCTCTCCCGGGCTTTCCTATAAGGTTTTTAAAACCGTTCGTTAGGGAAAGGTTTCCACATCTTTACAAAAAAATGTTTATTTCTCCTTTCTAACGGACGTGGGATCTCACAATCCACCATTCTTGAAGGTCCAACGTGCTTGTTGACGCTCGTGCTTCTTTTCAATCGATGTGGGATCTGGAAACCGTTGGTTGGAAGCAAGAAAGGGTAAGTTATTGTGTAGTAACAAAGTGGATGAGGCCACAAAGAGAGTAAATGAGACAAATATGAGGGTTATTAATAAAGGGGGTAGCGACCTCTCATGCTATCCCTTCATGTTGCCATCAAAGTTCTTGGAAAATGAGCCATGCACTCTCTTTCTCATCTCCTACAAAGGGCCTTGTGCTCAAACCCCTCTCATTTTTTACTGTTTTCATCCACAAATTTCTACTTTTTCTTTATACCCACAACATCAAAACGCTAATTTTCTTTGCTCAACATCATCTTAAACTCTCAAGGAATTGCTTTTTCACCAACCCCGAATTCATAAAGCTATTATTAACGTCACTCTCGTTGAACTTTGAAAAAAAATGTCTATTTTGAATGTGTAAACTTGGTTGTTCTTAGGGTGGTTGTGAAGAATCAACAAATCGTATGCTTACATTCATGCATTTGATACACGTTTTACAAAAGTCGATCGGTCTACTCATACTATATTGCATTTGTCAACCGAACACGTAAGGGGTTTCTTATCCAGTGTATTGGTTTTGGCTTTGTTTTAGCTTCTTACTCATACTATATTGCATCTGTCGACTGAACACGTAAGGGTTTCCTTATCCAGTGTATTGGTTTTGGCTTTGTTTTAGCTTCTTACTTGGCTATCAGCAAAAAAAGACATCTCTTTCTTCACCCAGATCCACTACTAGTGTATATTGTCGTCTTTGGACTTTCTCTTTCGGACTTCCCCTCAAGGCTTTAAAATGTGTCTGCTAGGGGAAGGTTTCCACACCCATAAATGGTGGTTTGTTCTCCTCCCCAACCAATGTGGGACATCACAATTCTGAAAGAGAAAGTCTAAACAGAACAATATCGGCTAGCGGTGGATCTGAGTCGTTACAATTTTTCTTTTTTTCTTACTAGTAGGAATGTACACCAGTTGAATGATAAAAATCTTTTGATGGATTGTTTTTTTTTTAATTATTTTAAGAAACCGTACTCTTATTGACACTATATATTACCTTAATGACTAAAATTTCATAAATTTTACATATCAAATACTTACCAATCACAATGTAGCACTAACTTCAGTTACAAATGTTAAATATTCTTAATTTTTTTTTTAACAGTAACGTATATTTGGGTTTGATTGTAATAGTATTTTCGGGTTAGTGGGGTCAACCCAACCAAAGAAATATCAACTCTCAAATTGAACTGAATTTTTTATTTTTCGAAAATACAATCCAACAAAAAAAAAAAAATCTAACCCAATTCAATTTTTATAGTTTCGATTAGGTTAGGTGTATTTTGAGTTATCTTATAATATAAAATAAAAAAAAACATTTTAATTTTTAAAATATTGGAATGTACTTTTCGTGTATTTCTTTGACTCCGTCCATTAACGTGGCTTCTTGTCATTACTTGCCACGTGGACTGTTTTTTTTTTTTTTTTTTT